GTAGTAAAGCGGTTTTTCCCGCTGTGCAGAAAAACGATAAAAAAGACTGGGAGGATACTGTGGACGATTTGAAAGTGTGGCAATCAATTTTGGATGGTGAATAAATTCAAGTATATTATGTGTATTTGTATGTTATTCAGTACATTTGGTTAAAAAATATTTGTATGCCGAGAAAAAACACACTATTTTTTCACAATTTAAAAAGGCAATATTTGGTTATTGGATAAGTTTGCATCATAAAACAATAAGAATTTGGTTACGAAAAAGACAAAAAAAGATCTAAAGCGGATTTTCGCCACCGTATTATTTTATATTTTAAAAATCGGCAAAATGCCAAAAACGTTATTTTTCTATACAATAAAACAAGTTAATGGTAGTGAAGCGGGTTTTCCCGCCAGCCAAAATGCTTGCCCAAAAGTGCATTTCAATAAAAAAATGTTGAAAACATCATGGAGACAATGACTGTTATCAGCCCAATACGTTATTAAGAAGACATGGTGCCAAAGTGAAAGTTGATGTGTTGTTTATCTTAAAGGGGTTCTAATACCTTTATCTAGTAATTATAAAAAAATGATTAACTACAACTTTCTTACCATTTGATGCACTATCTTGTTCATTTTATTACAGTAAATATATGTAATATTTTGGGATTTAAGCACATACTTTTATAAAGATAAACAAAATAACTATAAACATTAATATTTTTATTATTTTATACTATAATTTGTTTTGAAGAATTGATTCGAATGGTGGGTCTGAAAAGTAATGAAAACTACTCAACACTTGTATAGTTCAAAAGAGACACACAACGATAACCACAGCTTCGATATGTTGTGTCAAATGAATCAATTCATGATCATTCTATGGGTGTTGTGCAATTTAAGTTGACAATAAGAAAAATATAAGTCATCGTTTTTAACTATTTTATAATAGTAAATAAACTATTTTTTAACCAGTTTTTCTAAAATACGATTTTAGTTACATAAATGGTTAAATTATAATAATTAATAGTTTTTAAATATAATAATATAATAATTTAAATTTATTTATCCAACATTAATTATTTAAATTGATTAAAAATAATATTAACAAACAACAAATATAACAATTAATAACAAAGTTATTATTCATTTGATAAGATCCAAGCAAATTATAATAACAATTCTTTAACTTTACTAACAATAAAAATTATAAAAAGTCTTTTATCGCAACAAAACAAAGTCACTATAAAATTTTTAGATGAAAAAACTCTTGTTAAATTTCGAAATAAAAATAATAATTAATCAATAAAATGTAACAATAATATAAAAAACAATATCAATAGCCTATTTAATAAACTCTTTTATAAACCTTTTTAAACAATGTCACAACCTTCTTCCAAGCCCCCTCAATTAAAGAAAGAATATAAAAAAGTTCCAAAAAACACGAAAGTTTGAAAATGATTGGTCCGAAAATTCCTGTTAGTCAAAGGGTTTAGCAAAACCTAATTAATTGCCCTATTATTTTCAAAGCTTTCCAAGACCTTGAGATAAAAATAAAAAAGAATCTTTTCCCACTTTTAGAGAGCAAGTGCGGTTTTCATTAAACGATCTTTCTAATGTGCCAATTAATGAGTTTAAAGGAACTAAAAATCAATTAGAGTAGCACTTGAGTATTTTTTCGGGACTTTTAAGGAATCCGGTGTAAATTCACAAATTCAAAAAATACGAAAAGAAGACAAAAATGGAAAAAATTCGGAAAAGGGAAGAAAACGACTTCTTTCAGACGAAGAAGTTCTAAAAATAGCAGAAGAAATGAAGGAAATTAAAAAAGCAAAACCAGAAGAAATTGGACTTTTCATGTTTGAAAATTTCGGCAAAACAATGGGAACAATGCAATTAAATAAAGTCCTTAAATTAATCCCAGGAATTGAAACAAAAAAGCCCAAGTTATGGAAACAAAACGAGCAGAGGTATCACAAACTGCCATCCTACAGTATTACTCGGAATTAAAAAGAAAATTGGATGGATGCAGATTTGAGCTTGTTTTTAACTTAGATGAAGTTGGATTCGATGAATAAGTTGATTCAAGAACCCGAGTTGTCTACGTGTCAGTCGAATCAGGAGAACAAGTTTTTAACGAAGTCGACAGAGATGGTTCTAAAACGAGTCTTTTGTGTTGTGGTTGTCTAAATGGGACAAAAATGACACCCCTTGTTGTTACCAAAAGACTCACCATCGAAGACAAGCTAATTGTGGAACTCAAGACTTGTGCTATTATTAGATACCAAAAATCAGGTGTTCTAAATACACAATTATACACAATGTGGCTCAAACAAGTATTTTTCCCGAATATTAAGGAAAAAAGAAACCGAATGGGTGTGAGAGTTGATACGAAGGCGTATCTAATTATTGACGGCTTTTCGGGCCATTTCAGTGATGAAATTGAAGCATTATTTCGGGAAAAATGTGTTGAAATTATAAAGGAAGTCCCCCACAGTTCCCATTTATGTCAGCCTATGGATCTGGGAATTTTCGGGAAACAAAAAACTTTCCTTGCGGACCAAAACAATTTGATGTTACACAAAATTTCATTAAGTGAAAAAGAAAATGAAAGTGTGACGAAACGGTCCAAAGAAACGGGAAAATTCTCAAAATGAACTCACTCGATTCAAAAATGCGTTAAAAATTTGCAAAGCTCTCAGAGGAAGACAAAATTAGGCAGCTTGTTTACTCATGGGAAGTAGTGTCTGATGGCGACACGATGACCAGCGCCTTCAAACAGGCTGGTATAATTTACGTGGTTCAACACCCATCAAAAGAAGAGTTGGAAAACATGAGATGTGTCAACCCCAACTTCAACACTGTAGACCTTCTTAAAGGTGTTGCAAAAGTTGACATGTCTTATGCCAGAGAGGGTTGCTCTTTTCTTGGTAAGGATCAAAAAAGAAAAGAACCCCAGACTGTTAGAGTCTCCATTGAGAATTTTACTGATAGAGAGCACATGCTCGGTGTTGAAAAACTTATGAAAATCAAAAAGGATGAAAAGAACAAAATTTCAAATGAAAAGAAACCTCGAAAAGAAAAATAATAACTTGGTTTTATTTTTTTTTAATTAAATTTTCTATTTTTTATTAACTCGTTTTATCGCAATAAAAATCTGTAAAATATAAATTTTTAAAGTTCTAATAATCAAAAAATGGAGAATGGTATAAAAGAGAACTTTTAAAGTGTAAATAACAAATTATAACGTTTACTGCGAAGTTAAACAATTTTTGTTTGTTTATTAGACAGCAACACAATGAAAAAAATGATATTAAAGTGATAAATTTAAAGTGACGACAAGGAAGAAGCCGATAACGAAGATAACAACATTCATTCTAGTTTTATTTATTTATTAAAATTATCATACTTAATGTTTATTTCTTTGTTTGAAAACAAATGTATATTTGGTTAAATGTCTTTATTATGTTGGTAGTATTCCGTTTAATTACAAATAAATTCTGTAATAACTCAACTATTAACCGTAATATAAATAGACTTTAACTGCCTTCTTCTAAACACTTCGAAAAAATGCTCTGGCAAAATGAAAATGATGTTTTTTTTCTTTTTGTTTAAATAAAAAAATAAAATAAAATAACATTTAGAAAACATTTTACCATTATTCGCCAAAAATTATCAAAAGCGGTTTTTTTCCACCCCTTTATAATTTTTTATTTTTTTGTATATTTTATTTTATTAATAATTTTTAATTTCAAATGTTTTTACATTTTGTTGAATTTTTATTGAAGAAAATAAAGGCGAAAAAAAGGCGAAATTAATCCGATTCATTAAAATATTAACAATTTAAATAAAAATTATTATTTTTTTGTCTAACAAATTATTCACAAAAAAATAAAAAAATTGTTTCGTTAAATAAAGGCTTGATTATCTACAATACAAATAATTTATTACAGATGCAACTAAAACAAACAATGATCAAGTACTTGTTTATAACACTTGTGTATGTCTTTCATTAGATTTAATTGACTTTTGATAAAAACATCAAAATACAAACTTTAAAAAATAATATAAGTTCGTTTTTTAAATTGAAAATACACAGTTAAGTTTATAAATCTTTATATTCAATTGATTCATTAAATATAATTCAACAATTGGAAGAAAAATAATCTTAGATGGTATATTAAAGATAAGATGGTACATATTCTGCTCTATTTTTATGAATATCAAATTAAAAAACCGAGTTCAACAATTATCAATCGTCAATGAAACTTTATAACCTAGACTTTGTTGTTTATGACAAAACAAATTCAAATAACAATAATGTAAATAACAAAAATCAATTTCAAAATAACGATTCAAGTTGATAAATAAAATATTTAATAATGAAAATATCTTTAAAGAAAAGTCAATAAGAACAAAAAGGCCTTGGTATTGAAAATTCCAAAAAATCGTTTTCAAAGTGATACTTTTGTGTAAATTAATTTTATAAACAGTACGTCCATTATATGATGCACTTTACATGTTTTTTATATCATTTTAAATCATATTCATATTATGTATTATATAATTTTTTATCAAACACAAACTGTGTATAATTTGGAATTGTTGTCTTTGATTTAAAATAAAATAATATATTTGTAATATCATTTCACTTGTTAAGATATATTTTTGATGGATATTTATAAAAAAATATACAAAGTTGCACTTCCAAAAATATAACCATATCTGTTATGATTATGTTTTTAATATAATTAGATTGTGTATTAAATAAATAATGTAAAACATGTAAAACAATGAAACTTATAAACAATAATTTAAAACTGATACTGTACATTATTTAATGTTGTATTTGTTCAAATTATTAATTTGATTGTAAAAATAAAAAATATGATATTTTTATATTTTTGATCAAAATGTTACGTTTGTATGAACATATTAACTGTTTGAAATAATTATTTAATATCATTGAAAAAATCTATATATAATTATAATTTTACGGCGGTCTCACAATTTCAGTTAATGTACTTTGTAAAAACGTTTATTACATTTTTATTGCTGTTCTTAAGTAGGAGTACCAATTATTGGTGCGAACATTCAAACACCTTAACACTTCAAACCAATTCTTCTGAGTGTTATCAAACAAATTGGTCTTATTCTTATAATAAAAACGATGTAACTTTCATTTTTAAAAATGGGTGTTGTTCTTCCCAGAAGATATCAATTGAACACAAAGTTGGTGATAACATGAATGTACATTTTAGATTTGAAAAAGACAATTATTTGAAAGCATTATTTATTAGAGAACAAAGTACTTTGGTCAGAATTTTTATTTGGGATAATGATCGTCCTGATATGTTATTTGTTTCATATGGATGTTTTAATGGAGAAGGATATTGTCGTACAAATATTAATGATAAGTTTCGACCATGCGCTGAAATATTTAGCAAGGGAATTTCAATATATTCGGATGTAGACCAAAAACATTGGATTTATTATCATCGCTCAAAAACAAATATTGCTTATTTGTTTATTGATGGTAAAGTAACACAAAGCGTTATGTTTCAAGACAGAGGTGGCGGAGTTGTGGGAAATATTTATGAAAAAACCAGATTTTTGTTTTTGGGGAAATCACATGATACGACAGTAAAAGTTACATACTTTGTAAATGCAACAGCGAGATCAGTTTGTGCAAGAAAGGGGTATGAAAGGTTTTTATTATTTAAGAACGATGAAATTGAGTCTTTAGATGTGTTTAATACAAAGTGTAATTGTGATGCAACAAATACAAATATAACAAAAGAAAGTGTAAACACTTATCCTGATTGTCAATACAATAGTTCACTTTTTGATTTGGATTTGACAAAAATCCAAACTGACACCCCATTAACAAGTTCAATAAACATCAAATTTGAAATATCAAAGTGGTTCTCTCTGTTATTTAAAATGAACAATGTGTATATTTTGGAAAGTATTAAAAATAAAACTGATATTTTGGAGATCGAAATTTTAGAAATGAAAGAAGGAGAAGATATCACTTTTCGGTTGAATTGTGTTGTAAATAATTTAAAAATCAGTTCACTTGGTAAATATTATTTCCAATCAGATTTACAAATAAACAACGTTGAAATTACTATG